CAGTCGAGTGCTGAAACTATACATACGCGCTAATAGGGCTATTTCACCTCTTAGAACCCAAAGCTAACACCAAAGACAAGAAAATAAAAGAAAAGAAAGTTTTAAAAGGTGCAACGTATAACACAGGTATAACAAACTAATAAGGAACGAATTTAGATCTGGAAAACGAATAAATATAGCCACATAGCATCATTACGATCCTTATATGCCAGTCGTATTCTAAAAGACAAATGTATCTACTAGCTATTTAGTATCATTTAATGCACTTTAATGCATTTGATCAACTTAAAACTATTATCTGAGCGGTTGTCAGGGGGAATTTCGAAAGTTCAAACATATTAGAAAAAATTCTAATTAAATATTTCGTGGAAGGGCAGACTAAAAATTTTCAGAGGTTGAAAACTAATTATCCTAGATAACACACACACTCAAAATGAATTTTTTTTGAAGATATGCATTTTTAAGATCCACTTGAAAAGTCTGTCGTCAATTACTTTTAGTAAAAATTTGTTATTCGTACACACATATTCTGTTGTTATGACTCATTAGAAAGGTATTTATTTCACTTGACCCATATATTTCATTTTTAGTACTGTAAATTTTAATGTTATTGTATCAACCTAGAGCCTAAATATATAATTATAATATAATCTGAAGCCAGATGATGTGTGAAATGTTTTTCTTTTATACGTTTTCAAGACATAATAGTCAACTCAAACACGCATAAACATAAAAAAGGTGTACCCGACTTTCTCTTTCTGATGAAATTATTGCCCATTTTGGGTATTTTTTTTCAAATAAAAACTGTGGCCGGAGGCAGAGATGCAAATTATTGCTTTAAAAGGATATTAATCTTTCTTTGGAATTTTTTTCGGTGGAATCTATGCTTATGCACAAACAAAATCCAAATGTATTTGCACCTACCACAATCGACTGTTTTGTGAAAATTTGCCTATAATTTAAAAGTTTACAAATATCTCGAAGCTCCATACTACAATTCAAGTAAAAACACGTTTGTAAGATGCATAAAATCCTAAATGATGCACCTTTATTAAACTTTTAGAAACAAATGTAAACAATTCAAATATACCAAGTTTGCTTTTTTACCTTCTCTAACAAAGAGTTCTATTTCTTTTGTTTAATTTCAACTGGGTTTTATCCAAGAACAACAAAGAAATGCCAAACCCCTCTATCATGGATCATGTTAAAAATATTCGCTCCTTGATAAAACAGTAATTAGACCTATTATTTATAAAACTCGTACAACTAACTTCTATACATTTAGCTTTTATGAGTTTGTATATATCTATTATTTTTTTGTAATGAAAAATAAAAAAGTGCTGATGAAGAAAATGGGTTTAGATAGATTATAAAAAAATCCTAGAAAAGTGTTTGTCTGAAGTTTGAAACTCCGGTCTTTTAAACAACACATGCGGGCATTATTAAACGTAAACAACTCCATGCATTTTTTTCATAATCATACCTCGAAAATCTCATCTACATATACAAATATATATGATCAATTAAACATCAGGAATTCACTACAAGAAAATTCCGTCAAGAAAAGGCCCTTTACATCAGTGTTACCATGTACAGGAAAAAAACTGAATTCTTTTTTAACTTGCATTGTGTTTAATATAATTGCACTACTTTTTCAAACTTCTTTCAATTGATGCAGAACCTGTTAAATAGTCTCATTTTGAAATCTTGTCGTCCATATTTAGGTATGAGCTTATGACTTGTTACAATTTTCTTATCGCATTATGAATGAATGTTTGATACAAAGATGTTAATGTAGGTCGAATATCTACTTTGGCTTGGCTCATGTTTAATTTTACCAAAAAATATGCGTCAAAAGGGTCTTTTGTCGATACATTTGGATGTCAATGTCAACATGTTATGATTTCAATAACACATTACAACTAAAATTTGTATACTAAAGCGTCCCGACAATATCATTTTAATCACAATCAAATACACACAAAAAAATATAACAGACAAACCAACGGCAAGGTCTCTTCTGAACATTTGAAGGTCCCTATTGTGTATTGGCTACATAAACTACACAAAGAAACCATCAAAAAGAAAAGTTTAATCTCTGTTTCTTGCAAGTGGTCTAAAACTGATTTGTTTACTAATTCCCCGACTTCAATCTTTACCAACTTATTACCAAACTTTGTAATAAAGCATATATAAAATGAAACTAATTATTTTTTTAAGTGTAAGCTTTAGATAAGTTGCATAGTTTTGATGTTCTTTAAATTCGATTAATAGAAATGACTCTTCGACACGACGGGTGCAGGATCTGCTTACCCTTCCGGAGCACCTGAGATCACCCCCAGTTTTTGGTGGGGTTGTTTTCTATGTTGTGTCATCTGTACTATTATTTGTCTGTTTGTCTTTTTATTTTTGGCCATGGCGTTGTCAGTTTGTTTTCGATCTATGAGTTTGACTGTCCATCTGGTATCTTTCGTCCCTCTTTTCAACTCTCTTCAATTCACTTCCACACAATTTTATCAAACAAAAGTTTTCGTTTTCAATAAAATGATCGTTTGATAAATCTGATTGCAAATGTATTTGCTGCAACACATATAACATGTATAAAGCTTTTTTCTAAAGGAAAAAAAATGTTAATATGCACTAGATACACTAGAACTGTGATGGGATGATTAAAGCTGCTAATTTTCTCCTTAACATCATCTTTGAACGTTTTGGTAATACAGTTAATCCACAGGTAGAAGGTGTTTCCAATAGCACTAAGTGTGCCCTTTTAATACCAGACTCGTTACCGTATTGATAGCTCGTAGATGAAAGCAATATTGTTATGATTCAAAGTGTATGGCCAAACTAAGTAAATATCCGTCCAAATTGAATTTAATAAAACTAAACGTTACGTTGATGATATTTTTGCTAAAAATAATCAAGAATTCTTTAATTAAACGGTAGACTTTAACCCAACTTGAAGGGAACTGACTTTGAATACTAGTAAATTTTTTTATAAACATCAACAATTGTCCTTTTCAAGATTTCAGATTCACATGGGAATGTTATGAACACTAATAGTCCTACATCCTGTCGATATTTTGATTTTTTTATTGCACGTTGTTCTGCATGATTTGCTCAAACTGTTTATGACTTTTTTTACAATGCATCCGTTAGATAAGTACTTAATTGATACTCAAGTCTGGGAAAACATAGTTTATTTATTTAATGCTGACAGTAGCTTTGAACTTGCTTTTAGTAACTGCGAATACTATTAGATTGGTATTTCAGGTTCTTGTGTTTTTGTCGGTTTTTAGTGAGCTCCGTTCTGATGATTGGGGTAAGCCTTTTCCAAAGAAGAGACAGAAGACATCATAGGGGCAATCCACATTGTACGTCGAAAAACCGACAATACTTTGGCAGAAATGGAAAAAAGACGAAAAGACAAACTTCATTAAAAATTTAATAATAATCAACAAGAACCCCACAATCGGGGTTATCTCACGTGCGTCATGTGGGTACGTAGATCTATACTGCTCCATGTGTGCTGCCCTCTGTGTTGCTCTAGGCAAATAAAAATGCAATTCATTTTAACACTTTGATCTTGTGTTATCCTGTGTTACCATTGTCCCTTATTAGGAGGAGGGTTGATTGCTCACAAAATATGTTTAAAGCACGCAACATTTTTTATATACCTGTCTTCTGGTCAGGCGCCTGTAATTCAGTGGTTGTCGTTGGTTGCTGTCTGTCACATTTGTTTTTGATCATAAAACAGTCCGTTTGTTTTATCTTTTGAATTGTTTTACATTTTGACATACCGATGCATTTTGGAACTGGTTGATATTAAAGTCTGGGATAACATAGTTTAATTATTAATACAAATTGTACTTTGATTTTTATTTCAGTATCTGCTCAGTATCTGCGAGTACTCTCAAATCTTTTGTCTTTTTATGGTTATTTTAGTGAATAACCATCGGTACCCAGTTTTTTTTAAGTTGGTCTTTATTTTGTGCTGTTACACTACTGTCCCCGGTAAAACAAGGGGGTGAGCGTTCACAAACCCTGCCCCATTCTGAATGTGCCTGCCCCAAGTGAGGAGCATTTAGTCCAGTGTTTGTCATTGGTTGTTGTCTTTCATGTAATTGTTTTCCGTTTATTGTTTAAGTATAAATATCTTTTGGATTGTTTCTCATTTTCATCTCGGACATTTTTAAACTGACTATACGCCATAAGCTTTGTTCATTGTTGAAGGCCGTTCAGTGACTGTAGTTGTTCCCATTCTTGTACATTGTTAGGTAGCTGTCTGATTAAAAATCATTCCACATCTCCTTTTTTAAGTTTTCAAAGTATATTAACAAATTCATACATTTTTCACTTTTAATTATTCATCGTATTGATATCAGAATACGTACACATGTGCTGGGGAAATGGAGCCCCTTCTTCTATATATTGCGTTTGTTCTTTATTTAAAATATACTTTAATATTCTAACTCATTTCCACTAATTAATATGTTTTCTTCTTATCCGTACCATATAACAATGGCTGATGCCCCTCTATTCTTATATTCCAATAGAGGGACATCATATATAAATATCTGGTATTGTAATACCGTATGTATAAGAGCAAGAACACATTAATTAAGTGAAAATTAGTTAAAATTTTAATTAATATTTACTAGGGAAAAAACACAAAAAAGAAATCTATATACAAAAAGGGGGTCCGGTCCATTCTCCATCCGCTTGTGAATACGTAATCCGTTTACTTCGTACACCAAGTTCGTTTCCGAATTAGACTCCTGTTCAAAGTTAGGAAAACCGAGGATGAACATGGGAACTTTATAACAAAAACAGTTTTAGCTTCGGTTGAGAAATTTTTTTTTCAAATTACAAAGGGTACTTTTTGGTTTTGCATATATATCCATGCCTCGTTATATGCGGTTTTTCCCTGAATATTCGAATGAATGAAATAATCATATGGGGAATGAAATTGTTTACCTTTCCAATCATTAAACACAAAATATATCTGCATATTTATTACAAAACTAGCATACATGTAAGTTATGTATAATTCGAAACACGCTGGTTTGTACAAAAGCTTACATCCGTGTAGACCTCACATAAAAAAGTGTTTCATTCTTTGGAAATTGGGGAAACAAAGAATTGTGAGATTTGACAAACTTTTGTTTAGAGAGTATGTGTGCTTGATGCCAGATGTATATCCTCTGCATTGCTCTAAATCCAATCTATATTTGAATAGTGTAACATGTTATAATACGGATCAACTATTGCTATTAGGCACTGATTTTTTTAAATGTTTGTCCGCGCTGCGCGGATATTGAAAGCGCTAAAGTTAATATTGATAACGCTTCATATATTATATGCAAATACAATTTGGATGTATTCATCCATTGTTGTTTGATTCATTCGAGAAGAAAACATTTCATGCATATTTAGGAAAATGTTAAATTCATGAATGAATCATTCGGCAAATGGAGTAATGTTGTAACTTTTTACAGAACACTTTCTTAAATTCACGCCGAAATATTTTACTACAAAACCCGTACACAAACGGATTTACTCCACTACTGATAAAATGTGATAAAATACCGATATTATATGCAACTTGAGCTGTTGAGTTATGCGAAGACGGAAAATCCGGAATGAAGTTTTTGCAAATAAGCAACACAATATACGGTAGAAAACTGAGAATTTGAACAATTGTTATCACAAACATAGCTATTGTTAATCGTCGTCGGCGCACCATGTTTCTGTTAGATCGTGTGGAACCATTACTTGACATACTTATTGAACCTAAGAACGATGATTTCCTAATAAAGCGTTTGCTTCGACCTTCCTGTGTATTTGTTCTTGGTCGCATGACCTCTGTATCTCCCTTTTCGTTATTGTTGACAGTAACAGTATAATTTTGTTTTCTACTTTTGCAATCTATGGAATTACTTCTCGAAATATCGGTCGAAAAATCGCAAGAATCGCTTTCATCTACATTTGACTTGTGACGCCTTCTGTCCAACGTATTCCTCCTTGGCTTCCCATTATCTTCTGTTTGCTTTAGAGAAAGCATGCACGTTCCATCTTTCGATCCTTCCGTTGACTTATGTGCTGGGTCAAAGTTTAAAGTATTTTTAAAATTAGAAGCGGTTAAATCAGCACTTTCAGATGCGGACTGTCTCTTTGCAGCTGACATGGCTGATGACGTCAGATTTGGAAGTCGTAAAATTCTTAACCAAATCAAAGTGTAAAACAACACAAGCGATGTCGATATGCCGAAAAACAGAACAAATATAATCCCATAGTAAATGAGCGGATATGGCGCATAATCATTTAACGTTGAGCATTGTGTTTCTGCAATCACTTGTTCATCGGGACTTAAGCTTCTCATGCCAAATAAAATAAATGCTGGCCATGAAAATATCAATGCTAATAATACGGAAACTAAGCATAATCGAAGTGCCTGTGACGGTTGTATGCGCGTGCGTGTGTGTTTGCAGATACTAATATACCTGTCGACAGCAATAATGACAAGTATTCCTCCGGCAGCTAAAGACGTCACCGCACGTGTCCCTCGTTGTAGTTTGCAAAGAATGCCATTATCAATCAAAAGAGGTTGTCGTAGCATAACTATTTCCATCGGCATACAAATGCAGCACGTGAGCAAATCAAAAGTTGCAAGAAAACCGATGAAGTATTGGATTTTCCTTTCTTTCCATTTCCGGTAACAGACGTAACAGACGAGAGAATTGCCAATCACACCGGAAGTCATGAGAACGGAAATATACGCAACAATAGGAGACAGGAGACTGACCACTTCTTCATCCCTCTTAATCCAGTTAAAACCAGTTGTGTTGGTTGTTTCATTGCCACTGCTGGAATTCATTGTATCAATTTGTATAAATCTAAAATAAAGCAAAAAAGTCTGTTAATTCATCGTTGATAAAGAATAAAAATGTTGCAATTAATCACGCATTCTTCAATGTTAAAGTTCTTGAGTGTAAATTATAAATGTCTTAGTGTTTATAACTCTTGTATTAAGTCCTTCAAATTTATTGTGTTTCCGCTACTCTCATGTATACAATACGCATATTACACTAGTTTGGAGTGTCCGCCATTGCAAATTTAAGAGGAAATAAAACGCTTTCTCAAAACCAAATATTTGACTTCAAAGACCAAATTGATTGTTTTGCAGACGACGTCATTATGTCAAACGGCGCAGAATTGAGGTCAGTCGTAGTAAAATCCAGGAAGGAACTCGAAATTGAATCAAAATATAAAATCGATTCAAATTGATAATTGATTACATTAATTTGTATCGCAAAAACTCTTTTTTAATCCCCCTCATTTAAGGAGGATAATACACAAAATCAAAATAAATTTAACAAACGATCATTAACATTATATTACTTGCCTACCTACAACACAGCCAAAGTCATACCATGAACACGGAAGTAGTATCAATTTACCTTGCTGTCATAAGACGATCGATATTAGGTCAAGGATTTGGCACTAGACTTGCAAGAAAATTTATGACCTTGGTAAAATGTAGTTGTTGTACTTGACATGGTTTAAAATAGTGTTAATCGATAAATTATTTATACGATGCTTTTTATAATATTCTTTTAAATGAAGAAAAAGTCGCCCAAAAAATGGATTTGCAGTCTGCATGATTGATGATAAAGCAATAAAGAAAACAAATACGACAGATTGCAACCAAAGACGACTACTTATTTACAAACTATTGCCTTGGGACAGAATCATATAGAATGTTGCGTGGTAAAATATGTTTTCGAGCACTCAACTCTGCACTAACCTGGGACATCCGTGAACCAGCATAAGAGCAAACTAAAAATCATTTGGAAAGGGCTCGACTCATAAGATAGACAAAAAGCAAAAACAAACAAACAAACAAACAAAGATTAACTAAAGACAACAGCAAATAAAAAGACAAATCGTTCTTTTTATTCATTATTGTTTTGCAATGATGACTTAAAATTTGTGGCAATTTCGCAGTTTTGAGCCATCTTCAGGATATTTGGTTACATCATGTACATGTTTATAGAATTACGCCATAATGTTGGTAGAACCTCAAATTACAAACACGAAGCTGTATGACAATTTTCAGGGGATATTAGTCCTTCTTGAATATTTGTTCCACACATTTTACTAGTCGTGTGCAGATATGTGTAATATTTTTTGAACTTCGGTAGACACTGGTCGTAGCCGCCTTGTTTGCTTCTATTTTTATTCAACATTATTTGTACTTAACTTCCAAGATCTCAGTAAACTGTCCTTCGAAAACATATTTGGTTTCTTTTATCCAGTGGTTGTCAAGACGCGGATCCAGGATTTGATACCCGCTCCTGAGAATTTGGAAATAGAGGAAATTATTTGTGACACAATCCTTTGAGGGGAAGGGGGCGATATGTGCGCCTCCGTCTGAATCCACACAAAACTTAAAACACATTTTTACCCAAATGTGATCACTCTACTCCAAATGGTCAGGAATAATAATTTAATTATTGTGATAAGCTTTATTCGTGTTATTGGAGAGATTCATTGTAGTTTGCAATTTTCTATCCAAAATGCAAATTTTAATATTTTATTTCAAAATTTGAAATTTAAAACGTATAAATAATAGGATCTCTTAATTCGGAATTTATCATACTGCCAGATATGTTCTATGCATGCATAGACAAAGAAATCTTCAAAATTTTCAACGATTGGTTAACTATATATTAATAAAAGAAGAAATATTGGTTTGATTTTTTTATTAAATGAAAAATACACTCAGGTCTTACGTTTCTCTTTGCCCTCAGTATACGTCCAGACATTTTTAATACGTATCCTGGTTAAATGAACTTTAAAACAAAAAAAACAAAAACAATAATTATCATCATTTGTTTTTTGTTGTTGTTTTTGTGTTGTTGAAGTAAGTTTAAACAAAAAAAAAACTTTGCAGACGTCAGACAAATGATAAAATGGACAAAGCACTTGAAACAGTTTAACTGTATTTCCGTATAAATATTTTTCTTGTTCTAGAATTTAAACTTTGAAAGTGCAAAACGTTTGAAATATTGTCATGTGGATAATGTGCGTGTATTCATTATTCAAAATAATACTTTAAAATGGTTGGCATATGTTTATCCTTTTAATGCATGTTTAACGCATCCGCTAATGTGACGCGTCGTGTATATTTCATTACAAAGGAAGTATTTGGCATGAAATTTCTAAATTGTTAAAAAAAATTAGATAGGAAATAATTGTGAAAGAGGTTTTTGCTGCTTCTAGGCATGGGTTATCATTTAAGGCTAAGTGGCAATTTTTATCTTCAAAATCCCTCAAAAAGACAATTTTGTTTAACTTAGAAAGTCTATATTTTCTGTATTTGGATTATTTATCAATATGCGTAAAGGATTCTTTAAACAGATTTGGTTATGTCAAAACGTTGGCATATTTAGCGGTTGCGTCAGATTGCCCTTCTATCAAATTGATCATACTTGGGGTTCATATGGAATGCCGTAGCTGCCTGATATGAACATATGTTTATATTTGCACATACTTTTCCCTATATGCACATACTTTTTCTATATATGCACATAGTTTACTTTATATTCACATACTTTTCCTATATATACAATTAGTTTACTTTATATGCACATACTTTTTCTATATATGCACATAGTTTACTTTTTATGCACATAGTTTTTCTATGTATGCACAAAGTTTACTTTATATGCACATAGTTCTCCATCTGCATACTTTTCTCTATACATGTATAAACATAGTTTTTCAATATGAGAATAACCATTCATATGATACTCTACTGAAAGTGCAAATTATAGAAAAAACGAGAAATTGCAATTTAACAAAAATCAAAGTTTCAAATATTTCGGAGGAAGATTTAGATCCATTAATACAGGTGCTAGTTGACAGATTTTCCTGTTGTGTCGAAAATATGATATATACCGGAATATTTGTTCCCTCTTTTTGAATTGCCGCTTTATCTTAATTCATTTCCCATACCAATTAAATTCACAGTCATTTACAAAAAAAGTATTTCATAGCAATAGCCATAAAATTTTCTACTCCTGCATTATTATGCCGGTATGAATGATTGATTGAATAATTGATTGATGTTTAATGCCACTTTCAGCACTGTAAGCTATTTCGTGGCGATCAGTTTTATTGGTGGAGGAAGCCGGAGGAAGCCGGAGTGCCTTGAGAGAACAACCGACCTTCGGTAGGAAAACCGACAATTCAAGATTGGACTCGAGCCTACCTGTCACGTGCGAGATTCGAACTCACAACCTTAGTGTTGATAGGCTAGTGATACAGTAGTTCGATTACTTAGACTACGCGGCCACCGAGGCACTCTGGTATGAGGGAAAGGGGAAATGGGATGAACTTTAACTCGGTGCATTTCATTGGCGCGTGCAGCTTTTTGTTATGTTTTCGCGAATTTTTTCTACAGCTTCAAATAGACAGTAACCCGAAAGCCGCTTATATATATATATACACCTCCAGACTAAATTCATCGATTTGTAAACAGGGTTATGGTACCGACCATTCACTTTTTTGGAGGTGTGGAGGGGGCATGTTTTTTGTTTAAAGTTTGATTCCATATTTCTTGAAAAAGACATTATTTGTTCAGAAGGGAAGCAAACAAAATAGTTTCTTTCCACTGAAAATGCCTTTCGTAATTAGAGGCAGTTTTTCCTATAAGATAAACAAATTTCAAGTATGTTATTTTTTTGTAAATTTAGCCTTGCTGATGATTTTAGTTGTTCAAGTTTCTATTTATTAGATATTACTTTTCTCGTGATATTAGTAAAAAAAGACACAAAAAAATGCTCAAAAATCGGACATTGGAAGAGTATTAACTCCAGTAATAGACCGGTCATTTGTAACCTGAAAAGGGGGGATAGGAGGAAATCAAGGGGGTTTTGAAAATTTATGAATGGAGGTATCCAATTCTTTATACGACCGCAAAAAAATTGCGGCCGTATAATGGGTCGTTGTCGTAGTCGTTGTCCGGAGACATTTTGATTTCAGACAATATTTTCAGTATAAGTGTATGAATCTCTATCAAATTGTACCACAAGGTACAAACTTTTGTGCATATATAGAAAACGTATGTGCATATAAAGTAAACTAGTCTATGTGCATAAATAAGAAAAGTATGTGCATATAAAGTAAACTATGTGCATACATAGGAAAAGTATGTGCATACATAGGAAAAGTATGTGCATATAAAATAAACTATGTGCATATATAGAAAGAGTATGTGCATATATGGAAAAGTATGTGCATATATAAGCATATGTTCACATCAGGCAGCTACGGCGTTCCATAGGTTCATCTTCTAGTTTTCAATTATGATAATTATTTTTGAAAACTTATTTTATTTATGAACAACATTCAAAAGATAACATATTCATCCAGATTTATTCCTGAAAATGTTAGGAGTCTATTAAATCACTAAGCGCAATAACTAGTTGATTAAGAGTCAAACTCAGATTCTCAAATCATTTGGGGATAACACGCGGCCTCTGGGTCCGTGCTCCATCCAGACTTTACCGTTTAGTCCCTTTTATCATCCCAAAATGATATTTTCACTGTTGTGCAAAGCTTGTCCAAATAATAACGACGTATTTTAAGGATTTTAATGTTTTGCTATCACAGCAAAAAAAGCCTTTCAAGACGTCGTAATTTATTGGAATAGTACAAAACACTCTTTGTTATATCCTTGTCCTTTTAGTACATATTGATTAAAGTATACAATTGTTATTGATCATACAATATCGCATATCAGTAGATACTTATTAAATTTCTTACCCTTTGATGTAAGATACGATCTTGTATGATACCATTCGGAAACAATTCACATTCATTGTCATGT